TCAGGAGGGTCGTCATAGTTCATCATTGATTCAAGTTCCTTAATGCGGTAGTCGTGATCTGTAATGGAGTATTCCATCCAATTGACTTTTTCATCAAGGTCTTTAAGCTGTTGAGCAATGTCCTTGAGTTGTGATTTAAGCTCTTCTATAACATCCGGAGGTAAAGAGGACATGGGCTGCGAAGAAGGTGGGGAGGAGAAACCAGAAATAAAACCAGATTGAACATTGGCATTAGCATTATGCTGAGAATTTGCAATATCACTGCGAGGGGCTCGAACATGCGGTCGAGCAGGAGAGGGACTAAATATTGATCGATTGGAATTGTTTGAGCGGTCAGTAACAGTGCGGTTATGAGAGCGTGAATTAGATCTTGACCATGAGCAAGAATTTGAAGGAGATTGTGTTCGTCGGGAATCAGGCTGTCCATGTTTAAGACCAGCATTGAACTGTGAATAAAGTTTATCCAAGCGGTCATTGGTAGTTTGAGCGGGCCGAAGGCTGCATGTGGAAGGAGAACATCCATGTCTGCCACAAACATGACAGAGATTTCTGGCTTCATTCAGAGAGTGCCAGGTTAAACCTTTATTGCGAAATGCAATTGTTAATTCTTTAGCGACCTCAAGACTTTCAAACGATGAAAAATTCAAATAAGCATAAGGCTTGAGTTTGTAGGAATTGTAAGAAAAAGGGATGTTGACAGCTTTAGCATTGACTTGTGAGGCAATTTTTAATAAGTCCGCTTCTTTAATATTCTTAAGGATGCCAGCAAGGATGGCAACATGTTCTCTGCGGAAGTCGCGTTGGGCTTTCGAATAAGATGCCAGACAAACGCGTAAGGAGTTTCCGAGACAAATAATCGCCCAGATGTCTTCAAATTGTGTAATAGAGCTCACATTGGAGAACTGGATGTGGGCATTGTAGTAGTGATTCTTAATGGTAAGTTTACATTTAACTACATCGCCATATCAGAAAAAAGCCTGTCTGATTTGTGTTTCATTAAGGAAAAGGAGAATGTCAGTAACGAACAAAGACTTTTCTTCATCACTGCGACACGCGTCTGCAGGCGAGTAGGGGTAAAAGCCAGATCAAGAAGATCAGCACATGGGGATTGGACGCATTCAGTATGATTATCCTGGACAAAAAAAAAGACAAGGATTTTTTTATTGTCTCCTGATCCTTCACAATGAGCACGTGAGCCATAAGAGGAATATCGGGAGAGGGCTCTGTCAACTTCGTCACACATGGCTCAGTTAGTAGTAAATTTTTCTTTGAATGCGACAGGCGCGTCACAAAGATAAGCCGCAGCATGAAATCTGGAAGGAGAAGATTTGATGCAGCAGCATCACCATCAGGAGAAAGTTGGCGTGTAGGTATGTCAAAGGCCACAGATTTGCCCTTATCATTAGATGGAAGGTTTGTGGAAACAGGGAGGAGATGGACGTGTATAGAAGACTCTAAAGACGTATTTGTAGGAGGTGGTTGAGTAATAACAGGAACTCTATTAACAGGGAGGCCAGAAGGAACGGTGGAAATAAGGTTGGGAGCAAGAACGGAGGGTGAAGTTATATCAACATTCATAGCGTCATCAGAGACAATACGCGAACGTTTGTTTGGCACGCCAGCGGTGCCAGTGGGAGACAAAGGTCGGTCTCCAGTGGGAGCAGAAGTATCAGGATGCAGTGGTGACGGAATATCTGGGTTAATAACAGAAGGAGCTGAAGGTGTAGACATGGTAAAAAGCTCAGTAAAGAGGAAAGCAACTGGGGAAATATTAGTATTTTGAACGAGCACTTAGAAATTTTCGAACAAAAATTTCAAAAATAAATTTTATTAGTATTTTCAAAAATCAGGGAAAGAGTTGCGTAGATCCTCATCACGACTCACATTTGAGTTTGCGTAGAGTTTATATTAAAATTTTTCAAAAGTTGCATATTATAGGAGTATTTTCAAAATTTCGTTATCCTACCTACCACTGTTTTTAACATAACCAGTAATTCGATTTTAATAAAATTTATATCATTGGATTTGTCTCAATGAGAGGATTCTAAATCGAATTCCTAGCTTCAATATTGACAGAGTTATGTCATAAAATGTATTTTTACTTCAGTACTTAAAATTTACTTATGAGTTATATTAGTATTATTTGGAATCCTACTTGTATATATCTAATTAGTATATCTGATGCTTCTTGCAAATATCAGGATGTAGTTTCAATTAAATTTCATATATCAACACTGCTATCTTTAACTTTTTATAATCATATGCTTTATGCTTATATTGCACTAAGTAATGTATAATTTTTAATTATATATTTTTTTTGCAATATTTCCTATTTTCATCTTATTATGTTTTTTTTTACTAGATTATACTGCAAAAGATAATTCTTTTTATGCATCATTACACATAGAATTTACTTCACAAAATCAAAAAGTTTACAAGTAATAATGAAAAAATTGGGTAGGAATGCATCTAACATATCTGTTTAGTTTAAGTTTATAAATTTTTTTCTTGATAATTTGCTATTGTATTATAAAAATCCTAAATTTTAAGCACTTTACCTTAGAGATTCAATTGAAGAAATCAATAATATTTTCACGTATACTATTTATTGATTTTTTAGAAGAAATCAAAAAAGATTATTAAAATGGTAATGTATAATTATGTATTGTATTAAATAAACTTGCAGAATATTATAAAGTAGCAAAAATGAAATTTGTACCTAGACTTATCTCTTTTTTATATAATATGAATCATGATTTAGATCTAACAATTAAGTTTAAAAGTGATTTTATAATTCGTGTATAAGTTGAATCTATTAAACAATACAAAACAGAAAATTCAAAATGTAAGCGAAATTACCAGCATTTATTATTATTTATTAAAGATAAGGAAAATTTGGACTCTCAAATTATTTCTAATAAAAAAACAAAGTAAGGTGGCAAAAAGGAGCATAATCTGAACAAGAACATATTAAAAAATTAACCAAATTGAAGTAAGGTATTATTTATATCAATGTTTTATGCAATTTTAAAATAATATTTATATAATTTTTAATATTTCTTAAAATTTTAATACAGTTACCACTAGATATAATGAACCTGCCGTTCCAAGCGTTTTGATTTGGTATATGGTGAATTCAATATATAATATTCATATCATATACTGAACTGTTCGGTATATGAATTTTATCTAATTAAATTATAGCAGCATATACTGTAATATTTAAAGTTCAGATGATTACATGACTTATTACTATAACAGATAACACTATGTTTTATTTAAAATTTATATGTTCATCAATTTTTTAAGTATTTACCAGCTATTCAAATGAAAATTTTATCTGATACTAGCAGAAATAATTTTTCCAGTAGTCTATTCTTTTATATTACTAATTAAAGTCACGTGATAGTTCAGTATACTAAATATGTAACTGATATACTTGGGCTGGCTAAAATAAGTTCGGATGTGGTATATAGTAATTTATTATGTGATTTCGTTATATCCAGTGCAATTAATTATAAAAAAATTGGTTCTGTGAAACTTGGTTTAATACAACAAGTTTTCAGTACAAACAGGTTCGTTATAACCAGTGGCAACTGTAATAAATTATTTCATAATATATAAAATTGAATTTATTAATAATAATTATAATTATAAATATATTTTATACAATATATAGAATCTAATTTTAACATATGAGTTGATTTTTGAAATCTAATTTTTTTTACATAAAAATAATTTTATTAAAGCAAATATAAATTATCATTTATATAAGAATAATAAATTTATACTAATAATTAAGGATGGTTATCAGTCCTAACAGTCCTACTCAATCCTGGACTGGTTAGTTCTAGGACGGTCTTGCATTTTTTTATGGTGCAGTAGAACCAGTTCTAAGAACTGACCAGTCCTTATACTAGTCTTTATATAATGAATTAAATTTAAAGTTAAAACATTTTTTTTATTTGCAAAAAAAAAGAAAAAAAACTGATCAGTCTTAAAAAGGCTGCTTAGAAAGACTGACAGTCTTATTATATGTGATATAAGATCAAAAGATCGCAGTTCTACATCAAGACAAACCAATCTGTCTAGGGATAGTAAATTAACGGTTAATTATAATTTAGTTAATTAACCGTTAATTAACTGTTATTTAACCATTGATTAATTTTATAATTCTGGTCAAATGTATTAATTTTGTTAGTTTAAACTAAATTAACTATAATCACATGATTTAAATCTCTTTTTTGATTGGTTAATTTATAATTAACCAAATTAACCGTTAATTAACCAATTTTAGTTAAACATAATTAACCAAATTAACTGTTAATTACCTAGGTCTGTCTTTTTAAGATGTAAAACTGTAGAATTGCAGTCTTTTAGGACTGATAACCATCTTTATAGATAATGCAAAAAAAACTAATTAATTATATAATTTTTAATTTTTTTTTAATATAAAATATCATTAAAATTTAAAAAATTAAATATAACTCTTATAACAAAATCATTAATAATTCTTCATAGAAATAAGTTATATAAATAAATTTATATTCATTTGAAAGAGAAAATTGAAATTTATCTAATGAATCTAAAATTAAGTGAATTACTAGTTGTTCAGTAATTATATTTAGTATATTTATTGAATTTTATCTAAACTTGATTATTAATTACTTCACATGTAATGATTCAATTTGAATGATCTTTGCTCTCTATGATGCCAACTTTTATCTTTAAAATAAATTTAAAATAATTTGTTTAAGAGTTTTGTTTTTTATCGCTATGGCATTTTATCGCTAGTACCCTCCATCACATGATTTATTAAAATGTCATGTGATTTCGTTTTATACAAATAAATATGTATTTATTAAATTTACGATTTAAAATATTATATTACAAACAAGCAAATACAATACATTGTCTAGTTATTAACCCTAATTAACGTTAACAAGCAATATAAACAATATTTTCTACTGTTCACTTGTACGTTGAATCTTGCAGTTTTTTTAATAATGACCAATGTTTCCGCACTTTTTACATCGACGTTGATGCTTTGTTCTTTGATTCGGAATTTCATGAGCTGATTTGATTCTTTTTGTTCCCATTGGCCGACCTTTTCCACGATGAGGTTTTGGATTTTTCAACAACGTCGGATTAACATTTTCTTTATCATTGATATCATCCTCATATTCATCAGATTCTGACTGCTCATCAATATTATCATTCTCAGCAAATTCTTCAAGTAAATTAATAAGATTTTGTGAATTAAAATCTGTCTGTAATGCCTTTTTTAATGCTTTTTTATACGCATTATGCAATTTCCCATAAGCAATTTTCTGTTCTAAAAATGATAAACTTTCTTCTCGATAATCTTTAATAGAGCACAAGTATGGTACTGCATTATGATAATCAGATGTAATAATAGGTTGTTTTTGCATATACTTGTCAGCAAATATAAATAACTCATTTGAACCATTTCTCTCACCATTATACCATCATGTTGGAATAAGTCTTATATGAAACATTGCATTACTTGTAGCCAACATTACTTGAAAATAATGTCGACATACAATTCCACATCGTAAAATTGAAAGGCATGAACATATATGTCCATTGTTTTGCAATAAAATGACATAATGCTTGATTTTTGATGAGTTTCCAACGCTAATTGACCATATTTCTTTAATATTTTGAAATTCAACAAATTTAATCATCTGCTTTAGTGTCGTTTGTGGAGTGTCAATATCATCATGTAATAAAGTCACATTTTCCTATTTGAATTTATTGAATTAAATAAGCATGTATAACGTACAATAGTCAATAGATAATAAAAAAGTAAATGATAGTTACTTCATCTAAAATTTCAATACTTTCTAAATCTACTAAATTCGCTATATAATAAACTGATTGATTCATTTCATCTTGATGCATTTTTAGCATTGTAGATGTAAGAAATTTTTGAAAACACTCATCAACTTTAGTGAATAAAAAGTTAACTGTTTTTGGATTCTTTTTGATTGGAATTGACATACGCCAAAAATTATATTCATTTTCCTTATCTTGCATATCAAACATTCTGTGAATTTCCGTCATAAAATCACATAATGAAATATTTGAATTTTGTAGCAAATGTTTCAAACATGAATTTACAGACTCAACACGGGAACTGGCTATCATCCCTCCTGTAAACTTATAACTGGTAAAACAGTGCGCCCAGTACATCTTTGTTCTATACAAAAATTCAAGGTAAGATTTAGCATTAGGATAATCTTGAATAAGTTTATCAAATAGTTGTTCAAAGCCACTTTCAGACAAATTATTACGACATCTATAAAAATCTTCAAGAAATTTTTCATAATTATTGCTTAGTGACTTTTTAAGATTCTTGTGTAGATTCTGACTTATATGATAAGCGCAATGAATAGGGTAAGTTGAGTGAAAAACCTGACAAACAGTAGCATCTACAGCAGGATCTGCGTCTGTAATTATAACAGATGGATATACACCAGTTAATTGCACTAATTGATTAACATCCATACATAAGATTTAATACTTTCATCTGCTAAAAGTGCTTGAGCGAGTAAGATATTATGACGATTATTATCAAATCTGACAAACAATGACAGTGCCATCCCATATCTATTGGTTTTATGGGTAACATCGTTAAGGACACAGTCAGTATATTGTATCCAATTTTCAACTTGGGTTGGAGTCATCCATAATAAATGTGTCAATGTATTATCATTATTCCATCCACGAGCAATTACCTAACGTGAATCATTTTCTTTTTGTTCATCAAGCCAATTTGAAATCATTGCAGCATCATTTAATAATGATTTACTAGTAGAACGAAAACTTTGAATTGTAGCATAAAGATCCTTTGAATATATAGGATGTGAAGAATATTTTCCTTCAAGAAATTTTCTCTGTGCTGTAACACCAAATTTGCAAGATGTAGTCATAAATTTAATATCATCAATCATTGAAGGAGTAAATTTCTTAGATTCTTCAAATATAATACTTGATGTACTTAGTGGATGATTGTGTTGGTCATTAATCTTATTAATGAATACTGAATTTTCGTCATTCTTTGACTTTGTGCATGAAACATTAACTAAAAACGGACAACCAATCTTTTTTGTACTAGTATCTTTGGTGGAATTAGATTCATAAACACGACTATGAGAACAAATATATGTACGTCAGCGAATAATACCATCATCACGAGTTACATGATCTTTAATAATTCAAAATCCTTGTATTTTGGCCCATTCATTTAAAAAGATTTCGCACTCATCCCATGATGTAAATTTCTTCTTTGAATACAACAATGCATGTTTATTTTCGTTAAATAAGGTTGTTTCATTATAATCTATACATATTAATAAAAAAAAGAAGAGATTATTAAAAAGAAAATATAAACTAATCCTAATCCTAACCCTAACCCTACCATAACCCTAACCTAACTCTAGGCTTTACTGACTAATGTTACTCCAAGAAAATGCCAAAAAAATAAAACATACCATTGATAACATCGGAAATAAGAGGTTCGTTAAAATTTTCATTATCCATATTAATGACATCCGTATTATTAATGGCAAATAAATAGATTATCAAAAAGAACAAATAAAAGGGAATCAAAAAAAACAATCTGTAATTAGTTGAAAAAATTAAAATAGATGAAAAAAAGCAAACGTGAGAGAGAGGGAGTCGATCAACGAGATTATTAGTAATCAATTAATCAATTTATTTGTGTAAATCAGCTGATTTATAGTTAAAAAGTAAATCATATGATTAACCGAAAATTCACGTGATATTAAGGGACTAGCGACAAATCGCATATGCGATAAATGATTAAATTCTTTGTTTAATATATATAGATGTTCAGGAATTATCAATTATATTATTAACTATATAAAATTTTATAAGTTTAAAAAAATCTGATATAAAAAATTTATTAAATACTTGTAAATGTAAGCTATATGAATGAAATTATATTCATTTGAAAGAGAAAATTGAGATCTATCTAATAAGCCTAAAATTAAATGAATTAAATTACTGGATTGTAAATAATTATGTCCAATGTCTTTATTTTTGATTTTTAAATTTGATTTAACTTTGATCATTAATTACACCTCATCTAGTAATCCAATTTTCCTAATCTTTAATTCTTACAATAGAGCAAATTCTCAGCTTTCAAATAAATGTAAAACGATGATATTAGCATATCTCCAGAAATAATAATGCATGATTTTGTCATCTGCATAAAGTCTGATCTGAAAATTTTATTTCTTATCAAAGAATGCTTTCATAAGAAAATTCCAAATTCTTTTACTTTATTTAAAAGTTTTATTTGCCATTTAAGGATTTTAGTAGAATAAATCTAATAAAATAATTTTAAAAAATAAAAAACAAATATATAATTAGTTATTTTGAAAAAAAAAGAATATCTTATTATTCATTTTACAACTATTTTACATCATAATTATTTTTTATTTGCATGTATTTTTTACAAAGAAAAAACAATAAATTAAAGCTAAAAATTATGAAAAAATATGTCTTTTCTATATATATAAAATATTAAGTTTTTTCTTTTACTTACCATTTAAAAATAACTGCTAGTATATATGCTTAGGAGCGTGCCAGAAATCACGTGATTATGCTCAATTAGAGACCTGACCCCCTACCCACCATGTGATTGAATTCTGATTGGCTAAAAAAATACATACAGTATAATATATAATATATTATATTAATATATATATTATAATACAATTAGTTTGCTATCTAATAATCCAATTTACATAAACCTTTTTTTGTTTTGTAGCCCCATTTATGCTTTATAAAATAAAAAAAAATTCATTGAAATTGGACTGCTAGATGGTGAAATAATTGCAAAAAAAACTTATTAATAAATAAATTACCATATATTATTATATATATATTATAATACAGTTATTTTACTATCCAATAATCCAATTTGCATAAACTTTTTTTTTGTTTTGTAGACCTCTTTATGCTTTACAAAACAAAAAAAAATCATTAAAATTGAACTGCTATATAGTAAGTTAATTGCAAAAAAACTTTTTAATAAATAAATTACTATATATTACATATATATTATAGGCAAAATGTAGTTGGTGATCCGTGATCCCGGTCGCCATGGCGACCATTTAAATTACGTGAATAAACAAATTTTTATTGGCTACTTCATATGATTATTTGCTTATAGATAATCTTTTTTTTAACGTGTCATCATGTCACCAATTAAAAAATCATTTCATTTAGGGGTGTCGTATTCTTTGTTTTTTTAAAAAATAACAGATAACGTCTTTCTTGTTCTCACTTCTTACTACCGGAAACCAGGTATGTTTATTGTTTTCTTCTTTTCTTTTGTTTCTTTAACAAAATGTTTACTAACGCTTTGTTAATTTCTTTTTTTTTTAGATTTCGGATAGTTGAATACAGGTAATATTAAAAAAAAATTTTTGTTTGTTGATTTCTTTAATGAAGTATTTACTAATGTTTCGCTTATTCTTTTTTTCTAGGGTTCAGGTAGTTTAACACTGGGCTTGGAAGGTAATATTCAAATTTTTTTTGGATTTCTTTAACGAGCGTTTTGCTAATATATTTTTTTTTAGATTTCAGGTAGTTGGATGCTGTGATTGGGAAGGTAATATTCGAAAAAGTGGTTTTGTTAATTTTTTAATGAAAGATTTACTAATGTTTCATTATTTTCTCGATTTTGAGAACTGAGAAATGAGTTTCGTTTTTCTGATACTACAATAAAGGTATGTTTTTAGGGTTTAGTTGATTTTTGTTTTTTACTCCTTATTCCACCACACTAACCTTATTTCTTTCTTTTATTCTTTATCTTATTTCGTTTCTTTATTCCATTCATTTTATTTCATTTTATTTCCTTTTTTTCCTCTTTTATTTCCTATTACATTTCGTTTTTCATGTTCCATTTTGTACTTTATTTCATGTTTTTTACTCCACGTTCTTTACTTTACGTTCCATTTCATTCTTAATTTCATGCTTCATTTCGTTCTTTACTTCACGTTTCATTTTGCTTTTCATGTTCCACTTCGTTCTTTACTTCACGTTTTATTTTGTCCTTTACTTCGTGTTCCATTTCGTTCATTCCATTTTGTTTCTCCATTTTGTTTTTCACTTTCTATTTCATTTGTGATTTACTATCCTATTTTGTACTTCATTTCCTGTTCTATTTTTGTTTACTTTATATTTCATTTTTGCTTTTTCTTATCCTATTGTTTTCTTTTTCCTTTGTTTTTTTTTCTTTTCCTCTTCCTTTATTTCTTCCCTTTTGTTTCTTTTTTTCATTTATTTTATTCTTTTTTTATTTAAGAAGTTCAATCATTAAATCAAATAAAATTAGTAAAAATGGTTTCTCGGTTTGTTAAAAAAAAAATTTCACATAAAATTTTTGAAAAAAAAATTAAAGGCGGTTATTGACAAAATTTTTATATTGTGAAAACCATAAAATTAAACTTGTATGGCTTTAGTCATAAAAAATTTAAATAAAAATTCATGTTTTATTTTCATATAAATTGTTCGTTTTGGCTAAGTTTTAAGTTTTTTTTTTTTAAAGATAAAATAATAAAATTTTTCATAAAATTAGCCAATCAAAAATTTTGTTAAATCACATGATAGGGGTCGCCATGGCGACAGGGTCGCCAAGTAATAACGCCCTATATTATAATACAATTATTTTACTATCCAATAATTCAATTTGCATAAACTTTTTTTTATTTTGTAGCTCTCTTTATACTTTATAAAACAAAAAAATATTCATTAAAATTGGACTTTTAGATGGTGAGATAATTGCAAAAAAAGCTTCTTAATAAACAAATTATATATTATTTATTATAGAAGATATACTATTACCTTAAAAG